TCATTCAGGATGCAAAAAAGAAAAAAAAATACTATACAGAATACAAAGTGCATTAACTCATCCCATCCAACCCCTGCCCGATGACACACACACCTACTGTAATGCATCTTGGAACACTGAAAACCAAGATATAAGGGAGGCGGTAGCGCAGAGTGCACAGAGGGGGCAGAGCTGTGCGTTGTGGGAAGGCAGAGAAGGCTGTGACCTTGTGGGCCGCCTAAACCTCCGTCCCTCCCATCCCGCCCCACCCACATATAAGCAAATGGAGTTTTAACTTATACAACTCTGCCCGATATGTTAAAGCCAGTGGTGCCTGGGGATGTAAAAGGAAGAGAGGGGAGTGGATGGACATATTGGGGACACAGGTGAAGTGGAGGAGGGATGCTTGCTGGGAATCCCGGGGGGGAAGGGGGGGAGGGTGCTTCTTGAATGACGAAGGCTAGCCAGCTAGCTTGCTGGTCACCAAGGAGGACTTCCTCTGGGGTAGATCTTGTGGCGTGGGAATGTGGTCACCAGTTACCAGATTCTTGTCAGGCCCTGCCACAGGAAGCTGCTTGTTCTTCATCTTGGCCTTGGCCATGTTGTAGTCACCCGAATCAAAGTACTTTTGCTGCGTAAAAAGAGAAAGCAGAGGTGCTACAAAGTTTAGCGACATGCTAAATACTGAGAACAGTGCTTACATATTTGTACACTGAAAGAGTTATTGCTGATTGCACTTGTGCTATAGAAAACTTTCCAAATGTATTCCTGTGTAAGAGATGGAGGAAAATTCATACTCATCTTTAGCAGCCTGAGTTTAACTAACATATTTTTTTAATGCTGAACACCACAATCATACCCATAAACCCGAACAGCTTTAAAAACAGGTTTTGTGTGTGCCTAATAAAATTTGAAACAATGCTAACTGAATGTAGCTTTAAGACTCAGCCTCATCATCTTGTACCTCCTTCCAAATCGCCTTTTATAAAATGAGGATACAGTCACCATATAAGCTGTAATCATTATAAAGCATGCTTTGCATTTCCTTCTATAATATTGTTACTTACTATAAATTTAACAGTGTTCAGTTTAACAGCTAAAGAGAACTAGAACCAGCATAATAACAAATATGTCGATAGTGCTCACACATCAGAGAAGATACCACAGGGGTAATGCTCTTTAATCAAATCACATGCTTATGTTTCAACATTTAAAAAATTTAAGTATGAGATTACCTACCTCCTCAGTCTCTGATAGTGTATTATTATCTTATGATAAAATGCTTTTCCCTTTGAATGTCTTGGCTACTCCTACTCCTACCCAGTGATTTAGCATGTTTCCCAGTATGACTTTCAACAACCTCTAGAGGTGGAAGCATATAGAGCATGTGTAGGTGGAGAGAGACATACAATTTTAAATCCGGGAAAAGTGAGACTGGAGTTAAAGTTTCCTTTGGGTGCTCTGTTCTGCAGTTCAAAATACAAATCAAAGTTACTCTGTCATACAAGCTGTACTGCACGTGCTATCAATCTAGCAGCTTTGTATTCCAGTCTATTAAGCATGGAAAAATTATTTTTCTCTGTTTCAATTAATTTACCCTTGTAGCACTGATGAATCAACAACTCAATGGTGGTTCTAGGTAGAGCCTTAATTCTTTGGTTTTTAAGGTGAGCATAAACTTTATCAGTTAGGTTTTTAGATCGCTGATATCTTTATTAAAAATTCAAGATATGTTCACTGCAATTACATTCAAATTGTTCGTTGTTCAATAATAGGAACAGCAGCTTGACCATACCAAAACAACAGCTATCCTTTTTCAATTTTACGTGGGGTGCAGGTGTTTAATGACTTGTTTTCTGAGAAGCTCTCATTAACGCACAGCCCTGTTTTTCCACTGCTGTTGCGGCTGCTGCTGTCTCTGATCGCATCATAGGCAAACTATAGTAACTCACTCCCTTTTGTAGTCTCTTCATCAGGAAGTCTGACCCACCGGGTCTCTGGCCCAGACCAGGATATTTGGCCTTCAGCTTCGCCTCTTCTGCTTTAACTGGGTTTGCATTTTTCTCTTGAGAGTCCTGTAGAGACAAAAAAAGGTTTAACCCTCTTGTTTTGCAGAAAAACAGGGATCCTTTAAAATGTCGGTGGATGCAGCTTCAGAAAAGTTCACAACTAGAACAGCTGGTCATGTCATAGCCACTCACTTCTGGCCACCCTGCAATTCTAAAACTTTTTCCACAAAGACTATAAGTTTACTGTAGAGCACAGGACCAGTACATTAAAAACACCTAAAAGTACTGCTGTGAAAGGGATTCAAAAGCATGACAGTGACTAGTGGAAACTTTATATACTCCATGATAGCATGAGTCACAGCATGACTGCCCTCCTCTTACAGTCTCTCATAACGCCATAATGCCTGAGAGGAAACTTGGTATGACCAGGGACCTTAAGAACGAATGCTGAATGATTTTAGAAGCTTATGATAGTAACAAACAACTAAAGCTCTATTGGAAAGTTGTGTTGCTAAAGATTTTGTGACCAAAATATTGTTTATGCATATATTAAAAATAAAACTAGAATGTATATAGCTGAAATCTCAAAATTACTATAAAACTAAACTCTGTAAACAAAATCTATGCTATTAATTGCTAAATCCTATTGTGATCTTATGCTCAACTGTGTTTCTGGTAATAGTAACTACTATGTTATGTAGTCATATATTTAGAGAAAATCTGAAAATTTGGGTCAAGAAACTACAACATGACCGGGCTGTCCAAACAATACTAGGCTTAGATTGTTGAAGCCTACAGTGGGAATTCTGAAACAATGGAAGGGCTTGTGCTGATGCCTCTGCCGAATACTAGTAAAACTAGTCAGACATTGCCATTCAAGTACCCGACAGGTAGATACTGAAGCTACTAATCTGGGGCACCACCCTGTGCACACAGCAGGAGTCAAGCGCTTGACTCCATGTTAAAACTATTTCAGAAAACAGGCTAGTGCAAGACTATAATGGACAAACTCCAAAGGGCATTTAGACACTCCTTATAAACACACCTCAAGTGAGCTGCACAGCATAGACCTACTTCCACTATAGAGACAAGATAGGGCACTCAGCCTATAAAGCTTGCTGGGGCAGGGATAAAATGTGACCCAGGACACAGAAGCCGATGAACAGATTCCCTTGGGGGGGTGGGTGGGGGTGGAGGAGGTGTTGCACAGAGTGTGCTGATTCACTTGGGTCCATGAAGAGAAATTTATGAGGTACTATATTTGGTTCTGATGCAGGGAAACTGCAGATTCCAACACAGTCTTTGTGTACACAGTGGAACTGGCATGTGTATAACTAAATATTCCCCTCAGGAAGGACTGTCTTTTCTTGTTCACTTAAAGCAACAGACAGGGTTAAAAGTCCTGTTTATAAGGTTTGCTTAAACTACTGGAAAAGCTTAAATGCACAGGCTGTGTCGCCATACAAAGAGACAAAATATTAAAACAATATTTCCTTTTGTGGCATCAGCTTAATTCACACAGAATTTCAGTAACAAAAACTCATGATTCAAACTGAGTTATGACAATATCAACAGTCATAAAGCAACGTCTGTCACTGCAATATAAACAATTTCTATTCCCTTCAACTTTATGATTAGTAGGGCATGAACATACAGTAATGCACGGTTATAAACAGAAATCAACAAGTTTGCCAAGCAAAGTCTGAATTTTTAACTTCCTACCTTGTAAAGGCTGGGCAACGTTTAGTTTCCACTTTTCATTATTTTTCTGGTTTTGAGTAACGCAATTTAGATATGTGAATAATAAAAACAAAGTTAAAAGTACTTAAAATGAGAAAACTAGACTTTACATTATAACCTTTGCTTCATAGTGTTAGGACTGAACATCTTTCTTGTAAAGATAATAGATACTGACATTAATGTTAGCATCCACCACGGGTGTTTATCTTGTCATTTCTGCCCCACTGTTGGTACAGTGTAAACTAACTTAACGAGTGTCAACACTAATCTAACACATACTGACATAAGAATGTTTGGCAAATCCTCGATCCTAATAATGGACTAAATTTCATCGCTGCTGTGCTTATGGCATAGTATGGAAATGCGGAAGCACTGCAGCTGGTTGTCACAGTCAGTGCAAGACCACCAGGAATCCAGAAACTGCTAGCCATTCAGGAAAGACAGTTTTCTATTCGACTTTAGCGCAGTTATCTTTACTTACTCAGTGTGCACTGAGTGAAATCACCCAGTCATGCTTTTATCTGGAGACCGCAGGCCACACATTTAGTGTGTAAACCCCCCCTCGGGTACAGACCAATGAGGCCTGAGCTGCTGTGGACTCGCCAGCCAATGACACCAAGCAAGGGACAAAACAAAGTGACACACAAGCAAGATGGTTCTATGCTATGGCAGCTACAACTAAACCACTTCCATTATACACAGCAGCTCATATCGGCTGTACGCCTCTTCCAGGTCTTCCCCGGTGCATTGGTGCAGCGCTAAGCTTACTGCAAACACTTATGCTAACTGATGCTAGCCACTGCTTAGTTAGCATGCTCTGAGGTTAGCTAACAACATCAAGATAGCAGGCAGAAACCCACCTGTTTTTCGTCCTCGTAGTCCACCTGAGTATCCGAGTCCAGGTTTTCTGACGACATTTTGTGAGTGTGGAGGACACGCAGGTGTCTCGTCGGTTGCTGGACCAACTCAAAAAGATGATTATTCAAGGTACCGTTTTGTGTACCTGTACTGGATCTAATCCTGCTTTTCTGAACACGACTGCTCTCCAACAAAAATGGCGTAACGACATATGACATCACCGTTAGGGCCGGCGTTTCCCTTGTAACTAACAAATACAGTAACCAATAGAAGTGGAGTAATAGCCCACACGAAGCCAATAAGATTACGTTTAATGTGATTGACAACCGGTTGGCCAATGAAATTACAAAGTGAAGACGGAGGCGATGCGGGGGCCGCGCTGCATCAACACAAATCACCACAAAAAACATATTTGGGGTAAAACGTTAGTTTCAGTTAACGTTTGACATATCAAATCACAATTATAACAATAAAAAAAACAAAACAAAAAGCGGTAGACAAAAGGCTCTGAAGCCCTCTTTGTTTTTAGTTTTTATCTCCCTACTCTGTGATTGGCTCCCTGGTGGTGAACCTGTTGCTGCCATTGATTTCTACAGGTTGCTGCCCGTTAAACATTTAGCGGGAACCTTTATAATAGCTAACACCAAAAGGTTAGCTTTTATTTCCTAGTTCCCCAGAACGACTGTACTGTGTGTTTCTGGTTATTGTTCCCATGTAATTACAAGAGCATAATCTATAGAATAACTTCGCGGTAGGTCAAAGTAGTGTGCTAGAGACAAGTTAAGTAGAGGGCTACATCAGCTAGAAACTAGAACGTTAGCTAGCTAGTTGCGATTTACAGTAAGTACAGTTTTCTGAGTAGACTCCTATCTGTCCTCAAATTTTCTCTCTGTGCTTTGCATTTTTTTTTTTAAATTTTGTTGTTATTTTTCACCAAAGGTATGGCGTGTGCACAGCAAGTGAGAACATCACAGGTAAAATACATAACTCATATGATTTTATTGTGATGTAATCTTGCAAACACTAAGTTGCTTAGCTAGCAGGAAGTTTCCTTTTTTCTTTTTTTTCCAACGGCAGTTTTTAGTTTTGTAAAAAAGTAGTTATTGTATTAACAATGGATCACTATTAGTGCAAGAGCCAAGGCGTCAACATTATTGAAATAATGTGGAATCACCTTTAGCGGGAATGGAACAAAAGGAAGCCAACATCCAAAGCAGAGCTTTGAATGTCCTTCAAGAAGTGATGTATGGTTTTACTGCAGTGGCAGTGTGTCTGGGATTATTGTTATGCTGAAAGATAAGATAAGATAACTCTTTATTGTCATTGCACAGTCACACATAGTACAGTAGTACAATGAAATTGGAAAACTGTCCTACGTCGGCACTACATATAACACAACACGACACGATATGACACATCACAACGCAACACAAACAACACAACACAGTATATTAACTTAGTAATAAAAAAAAATGAAGAATAAGTGTATGTGTATTGCACACTGTTATTATTGCACATTAATTATTATTGCAACTTGTTATAAATATTAATATTGTTATTGTTTTTACCGTTGTTACCTTCCCCTGAAAAAAGTCCAGGGAGGTAGCCAATCAGGTCAGCTATTTGCAATGATTAGGGCTATTGCCCTGTTGTAAAAGCTGTCCTTGAGTCTGTGTGCTGTGGTGCAGCTGGAGAACCATACACTGATGCAATATGTCAGCACACTTTCCATGGAGCAGCCGTAGAAGACGGTCAGCAGCTCCTTCTTCAGGTCCATTTTTCTGAGGATTCTCAGAAAAATGAAGCTGTTGTCAATCAGATGCTTTCCAGCTGCTACTGCATGGTGGATCAAATGTTATTTTTTTGCATTCATAATTACACTTTTGACAAGCTATCCAGCATCACTGACCCCAATCCATAACAGAGCCTCCACTGTGTTTTACGGATGGCTGTAGACACTCAGTGCTTTACCTCTCTCCTGACCTCTGTACATGTTAATGTTGATTTGCAACAAAATTTTCATATTTGGATTAATTATTTCATTTGAACTGTTATCACTAATCTTCAGTCCAATTCTTTTGTAATGTGGCATACCTCAGCCTTTTCTTGCTATTTCAGTCCGTAAGAATGGCTTCTTAAAAGCCACTACAGGGCTCGCAAAATTTCAAAATCCCTGGTAGCCCTTCGGGCAGAGACTCTTTAGTTTTTGGTAGCCCAAAATAAATTTTTGGGCTACCAAATAAATAAATAAATAAAGTAGCCCAAATAAAAAAGAGAGCAATTTTTTGATTGATGTTTTGTTTCCTGTTTTGTTTCCTTTACAATATTATACATTAAAGTATAATATTGTAACGGAAACAAAACATCAATCAAAAAATTGTTGAAACACAAATTACAACATTGTATAAAAATTACAATCATCAACTCAAATACTTGGTTCTAATTGAACAGAAATTTCTATGAACTTGTAAGAACTGTGTAGGACATGAATCAGTCTGTGTCCACTGAAGTCACAGGTAAGAGGCAAGTGGAACCAAGATCTAGGCCATTTGCTTTTTGAAGTTTCTAAAGACTGCAAAATTTTGCCAGTGGTAGTTCACTCTTTGCAACATAGTACGCTGTTCTAAACAAATTTTTCGGGTTTATTTTTAGTATGTTATTTGCAATTGGTGTTTGTTCTGGGAAAGATATTGCAGACTGAGCAATAATGCATTTCTTGCATTTGTCATGGGTTCTAATGGGGGCCTTTCTTAAAATGACTGGTCCCAGTAACAAAGGC